ATGAGGACCCGGCTTTCCCCATGGCTAGTTTACAATCGCGTCGTGTCAGGACATCCTCGAAGGGTACTAAACAGCCAGCACGTGGAGGGAGAGAAATTTACATCTCGTCAGACCTGGGCAGGTGGGAGTTCGCAGGGACGTGGGTTGGCCGTAGTGCTCTTCACTCCCGATGGCCACCTGATTTGTGGCGATAGCTCAGCCTTAATGTCCGTGTTTGTTTACTTTATGGATCTTGTACCTGGGGCTATCGGAAAGCGATAACATTTGACCCGACAAATAGATCTTAAACCGCCTTATCGGTCTTGTAATCTTCCTAAGCAGCCTACAGCTATTGCTGGACCGATTAACAACCCAAATTTCGTCACTATTGTTCTCCGCGGGTATTCCTCCTTACTGTCAACAGGGCGATTAACTTTTTGTTCTTGACAAGAACATAGTGTTCTCCAATAAATTTTGTGTGTATGAATCGTTCTCACGTCTATTTCAATAACCATAAAGATCTAGAAAAGTTATGTGGCAATATTGTCGTCATGAGCTATTGTTGAAGGCTAGATTTTGGTTTTATTGCTTAGTGAAAGTCGAACCAAAAGCATATCGCATTCGTTTTTCTCTTACATTTATTCAGTTATAATTATAAATTTCCTATATTATATATCCTTATTTACAATTTTCTGTATTCGATTGCTTATAAAGTGATATGCCAGAAATTTATAGTCGTATGCTTATCCCTTCCGTGTACGCATATGTGACACTTGTGCGACATATGTTTCATTCAGTTCAAACTAATTTCGGTTATACTCTAATAACTTTTACTCTATTAAAGCTTTTAGAACCATATTTGTGGCGTATTAATTAATATCACCAATACTCATCTGATTTTATTGGATACGTAACAATATATGTAATATTCGAATTCGTTTATGTAGTTTCCACCACTTCTCGAAAGCATGCGCATTGCGTACCTGAAACAGCAGTTGGCTGATTGTCAAAACTTCTGTTGGAACAGATCTCTTAAAAGACTGTTTAAAAATTAAAATTTAGTTTAAGAATTAAAGTATTATGGTCCATTTAATGTACATTATTAAAAATGTAAAAATTATCGAAATATTTGACGATAGTTCTAATTTAAAATGTTGGTTGTGGATGTAGTCAATAGATAAATACTATATATTATATTGGGTTGTCTGGAAAATAATGCAAGATTTTGAGTTTTCTTTAAAATACCGCTCTATATAACAAACTGTTTACGTTTACTGGATTATTCATTTCTATGAATGTCAACAGTTATAAATCCTCTTCTAAACGATAATGTTTGTTTACCTCTGTAGCACTTCGCTGCTTAGAAATAATGGATACTTTACGACGTTCTGGATCACGTGCCACGACCAAAGAAAAGCAGCAGAACATTTTCCAAAAACCTCTAACTCATCAAAAAAGGTGATGTTTACTGTTTGATGATCTTCCTTTGGTTTGATACACTACAGCTTCTTAAATCCTGGAAAACAGCCGAATCGTATTGTAACCAAATTAATGCAATGCATCAGAAATTAGAAATAATGAAGCCAATAATAAAAGGCTTAGCGAACCTGAAGGTTCGATGCCGACACCACCAATCGCTTATTACACACCTCCCTCCACCCTTCGCCGTCCAAACCCAGTCCCTTCAGATCAATGAAGCCAATTAAACAGTTGTAAATCTCTCTTTTTTTCTTTTTAAGCCAAAATCCTGCATTATTTTCCTAACAATCCAATAGTTTCTTTTATTTATTAGCGTTTAGACTGATGTCTAGTTTAATATCTGATAGCTCTCGCCAAGAATTTATGATGATGGATTTACTAGGTTCTTCAATAGTTAGAATCTCTCTTTGTATTATTGTTATTATTTCTTATTGATACATGCACTTATTTCCCATTATTGTACTTGTAATATCGAAACGTACTTTGAAAGAAAAACGAAACTGGTCTTTGGGGTTTGCGGAAGCCGCTGACCACAACCTGTCGCCTAAACTCGATCATCTGGAAACTGCATCAAGACTTGCCGTAAAGTTAGAAAGTCCTTCTTGCGTAAGTCTCGGTTGGATTTTTTTTTTTTTAGACCAGTTGGTAAAAATTGACTACCTTGGCAGGTAGTCGAACCTATGGCTTTATGCACCTCCACACTTCCGGCACCACAAGCTCCCGATATTTTCTAAAAACGCGATACACCTCACCGCGATTCAATACAAATAATAGAAAAAACTCGTAACTTTCTCCATACGTTGTGCTAGTCCATCCCTTTCTCTATTTATATTCCTCAGATCTTTGTGAGAAAGATAGTATTTTAGAATCTTCCGGGCATTACGTTCAACAGTTCATTATTATTTTTAATATTTAATATTGAGAAAAAAAATATAATGCAGTAATCCTTCTATAAGGATTTATTTGTTTTATTAATGTTTACCTGAGTAAACTGAATAAATTTCCAAAATAAATTGAACTACTAAGTTTCTTTCTGATGTTTGGTATTTAATATTTTCCGGTTTGTCTCACCTACTCAATTGACAAAATCAATTTCAACAATCTAGCTCAATCAGGACAAAATGTAGAAGTGTGAGAAAAAAAGAAGAAAAAAAATTGAAGAACCAAATGGTGGGAGTTGGGTGAAAATGCTGATACTCCCAAAAACCAATTCTTTTTCAGCAGCTCAATATATGTTTATAACACTGAATTTATTAGGAAGGGATGTAGAGGTGCGGAAAACTAAAAAAAAAGTTGAGGGGTCACTTGAATATATCATAATTTTAGTGAAATTTTTATGGCGTTTGCTAGAAACAATACTACATGCCGTTTCAACTTCAAATTTCAGTGCATTTAATCCAAAGATGGCCAATCGTGGTGCTTAAGTGTAAATATTATATATGAAATGTTTTCTCCTCTCATCTTCACTACATTTTAGTATACAATAGTCTGCCAATTTTGGAAAGAAAATATGATAAAAAATATTTCTAATGATTTGTCCTTATATTATTTAAGTTTATTTTTTATGAAAACTATGCAACTTAATCAATTGTTTTTAAATTCATAGTCACTGTCACTCAATCATACTTTATGTTGTCAGAAATGTCTAAATTAATTTTTAACTACGAGATTTCAACTTCCATTTTATTTTCCAAAGCACTATAGGGATAATAGGTTTGTTCCTTTAACCTTTTAGAAAAATAGTATGTAATCTAGTATTATCATTTAAACCTATGTGATTTTTTTCCATCCCTATCTATCACTGTAACCTGAAATAAGGAGTTTCAAATAACATATAATTTTGGATGCCCTTTTGCGATAATCTGTCTAGGTATTATATTATTATTCGTACTCCGGAAACCAATTTAAAAATGTTATGAATGTTATACATTACAGTGTAAGGTGTAATATATAACTTTTCAATTATTGTAATACTTTTCTGTTCTCAACAATTTATATATATTTTCTCTACTCTGAAAGTGCTGCCGAAGTATACGATATATATATATATATATATATATATATATATATATATATGTTGTGTTGAATAAATAATAAAAACAGTCTAAATGAAATCTTAACTATCTACTCTAACGGTAGTATATATCCGCCATTCTGGGCTCTTAAGAGATGGATTTTTATGAATGAGGTATCAAACGAAAAGTAATTTCATGAAGAAATGATTATTAATCCCAATTTCGATCCCTGAGTTACTACAATATCTTAAATAAACGTCATTGAAAAAATTGGGGAGTTTTAAAACTCAGTTGCTTTCAAAAGTCGACGGATCGATATGAGATATATTTTGTTTAGGTGATTTCGACTGTGTGTTAAAGCCCTAAAACGTACAGTTTTCGAGACTAATGTTAATTATTGACAAATGCATCTTAATTGATATAGTTACCATTGGATAGCTATTACATGTTTTAAAAATTAAAATAGTACTATTTATTTTTTCAACAAATTAAAAATCTATTGATATAAAAGGAGGAGAATGGGTCTGAGGTCCTTTGACCAGATAATAATAGAAAGAAACATTTTCATATTTTTAATTTAACAAAAAATATATTTGAGAAGGAGCTGATCGGGGTGTGCGGTCAAATTTAAACTTAACCATTATTGTACTCACTCAAAACCTATTCATTTGTTGAATTTCTGCCTTGGTTTGTATTGTATTGAATTACTCCCACTTATTAAGAGAATAGAAATCATACTAGGATAAATATATTTTTTAATGATGTAGAGATGGCTGACTATCTTAAAATGCTAAATTTTAAAAAATAGTATTTTTATTAAACATTGTCCCCCACTATATCTCTGATGTCATCTTATTATTTCTTTATCAGACAACTGTTTATTATTTAATATCTACTTATAATTCATTTTCACCATGTACTTTTTATATTTTGTATCTTTTGTAGCCCTGATGAAGAACTGCAAAGTGGATCGAAACGTCGGCGTATTATATTAAAAATACTATTTTTTAAAATTTAATATTTATCTGACGGCACCCCCGATCAGCTCCTTCTCATATTATATCACGGTCAACCATCTCTACATCATTAAAAAATATATTTATCCTAGTATGATTTCTATTCTCTTAATAAGTGGGAGTAATTCAATACAATACAAACCAAGGCAGAAATTCACCAACTGAATAGGTTTTGAGTGAGTGCAATAATGGTTAAGTTTAAATTCAGATATGGCTGTTTTTTTAATGATTAATATAATTCACGTGAATAGACTATTCTGATAATACTATATTGTTTATGCGAATAAGCATGTTTCACTGATATTATATACGCCGAATACATTACTAAGGATAGGCATCTAGAGGTCTACCTGGGGATATATTAATTTTAAGGGTAAAGAAAGGTCGAGTTAACATGACTATGGCTAAGCTAGACAAAGGAGCAATTAGTGTGGAGTGGGGTAAGGCAAGAAGCAGCCGAGTTCCCGAGCCTGGGAGACTCCCATGCTACGGTATGTTAAATGGTTATTATTTATTCCAAAGTTATGGCTGCTCCTCCCTCGAGGACTGAAGGGGGTTCCTCTTGGGTAAACCTGGAATACATTATCCTCGGGTTCAGAAGCAGGTGTCCCGCAGGGCTTACAGCTGCGATGTTTATCTTGTGCAGCGTACATGTCGGACATCCTCCCCGCAGATTTGACAAGCATACGCTGCACCGCAATCTGTTCCAATTGGATAACTCGTTTCGAAATGTTACCTGCTCGTGTTCAATGAGTCGGACATGTGTGAACTTTACGCTAGGAAAATTTCAACGTTGTAATATTTAAATGAAACGTTTAATGCGCAAGTGTACTAGGCCCAAGTTGACATTTTTTGTTTGATTGATGTCTTCGATTTGAATTAAACATTAATTGAAGATACTAGAGAGTAAGGGACATAAGTACTTATTATGTGCACTATCAGTTCTGTCAATCCAGCGATGCTTTATAGTGGCCAATTACTTGAAGTCAGAGATAGGCAAATGCTACTCTGAGTACCGAGTACCAAGTATTTTACTCATATTGAATCACTATTGGGAATTCAATCACTACTTCAGTTAATCGTTTGACATCAACTGAAGTAGGAATTAAATTCTTTAGTGTTCAAAAAGGTCAGTATTTGAGTAAAATACTTGGTACTTAGTACTCAAAATTGCATTTGCCCATCTCTGCTTGAGGGTTCATTACACAGAATGCTATATATCTCGGCGATGCAATACGATACACTTTTTCGGTATCGCTGCAGGTTATCTCGCTCTGTATAAGTACTAAAATGCAATAGATAGTAACACAACTATATCGCCATATCGCAGCCGATAGAAATATCGTATCACCGAAACATATCGCACTCTGTCTGTAGGGGCTTTTAACCCCCCAAGAAATGTTGACGGTTTTGGATGAAAGGGCTACGTGCCACAGATGAGCAAATATTATTCAAATAACAAATAAGCAAAAATTTGATATATTTTAAGTAATGATTAATTTATTGATTATTCGTTGAAAAATAAACCGATGAGTATTACATTACTATGTAAAAAATGAGTGGCCTCATATCAAAGACGAACATCTGTCTTTTCATTTCAGTTTAAGTAACAAGGCCTCGTGCCACATTAGTTAGAGATGCATTCATAACTATCCTCTTCCTATCTTAAAATGCCTTCGGGCAGTACAAGGTAACAATAACAATTGATATATATCTATAACTGTATATTGTAATATGTACAATAAAATCGCTAGAGAGTGAGAGAAATAACAAAAACAAAATTCTTCTTAAGCAATCAAAGCTGAAGTTGAGACTTGTCCTTCCGCGGTTCATTTCTTCCTCCTTTTTGGGCCGTTTCCTTCTGACACAGGAGTTCGAAAATAACTCCGGGTTTTTAATTAACCAGAGGGGTCGGTGTTCAGCAATTGTTGCATGTCCAACTGATTGACTGATAAATCGCCAGCGTTACAAAACAAGCCGAGCAACAACAAAGGGGCGACAACAAAAAAACAAACGGCTCTGTTGAAGAAGACGTGCGGAGACACAATATTTTATTGCCGAGCCGCTCCTTAGGCCCCTATTTCGAGAGGTGACTTAGCCGGGGGACTATAAATACTGGCCCCGCATACCTTTTCTAGGAGGGTACTCCCCCGGTCGACTCCAGTTGACATTTTTGGCGCGGGTACAACTATTTTGGCGGGTATTCTCATGAGGTGCCCATTCACCCTCCTGGCTTCGGGACAAATCCCACGCTCTCCTCGCTAAATCTGTCTTCACTCCTGCTTAGCGCTTACTCAGACTTATCCTAAAATATGCATTGTTTTTTAATTATTTATAACGGTGATTCATTTTTTATTGCAAAATTACATTAAATTAATTAGTCTTGTTCCTAAATTTGGGTACAGTAAAATTTCCTTTATCTTCCTCCAGTACTCCTCCAAGGGTGCATTTCTGTTTCCAATTCTTATTATATACGTATTATGTTATAATATATGTTCTATGATTATTGCTATAATATATACGTATAATATAAGTTCTTATACGTATTATTATATTAATAATTAATAAATTCGAGATTAATTTAAATTTTTAATCATTTCATTAATTAATTAATTACAATTCAAAACAAGTTTATTGGGAAATATTACAATATATCAATTTTACAATATAGTACACAGAAATAAGAACAAAATAAAAAATAGCATGAGGAGAAAAAATATGAAAATATATATATATACATATAGGTTGGCTCTACAGATCTTGTGACTCTGGCATCCGTTGTTGTGTAAAGGCTTAATCTCCTTGCCTTCATATCATAAGATATTAATTGGTCTGTTTTTTTAGCATTTCTTTATTGTTTCTTTTCCTCTATGTGTTAAAGTTCTGATCCCAGATAGGTTCTGTTATCGTACGGAGAACTTTTCTTTCAAATTCTGGCTTCTAGTGTGCCGGATAGAGCCCATACATAATACATGGAATATTTTATTGATTTCTTACTTTTGAACTAAATGAATACTGTTATGTTTACTTATTTTTAATGCTATAATGATTTTTCGGGATATAAAATTTATTGTTTTAGATGATAAATAGCTTATTTGACACATTTTTTAAATTCATTTATGTACTTAATTAACTTTGATTTAAATACCAGAGCCATGACAGTGTCACAATTATTCAAATATAGTTTCAGCTAGCACTAAAAAAAGACCTTTGGTCACACGACTCGAACTTCTATTAACACAACCTCCAACTTTGAATTACATCTGTCTAGAATTAGCTGTTGTTATATTTTATATAATTTAGTTGGGTTTTTTATGTATTATTAAATTAGCAAAAAGCGCTAAATAAATCATATTTTACAAGATCACATTCGGTGGTTAGGTTTGCTCTTGGCCAGCCAGCGTTAGGGCATGAATCTAAGAGATTCCCAAAAATCTTCTTTAATATAAACGAAAATATGCTGAATACTGATGTAGAGATGGTTGACCGTGATATAATATGGGAAGGAGTTGATCGGGAGGGAGAGAGAGAGGGGTGCGGTCAAATAAATACTAAATTATACAAATAGTATTATTTAATTTTTGCCGACGTTTCGACCCACTTTCGCTCCTTCTCATATGCTGAATACGTTGCTAAGGCAATTCCTGCCCTGACAGTTGAGGCAATCCAAGAGAATACGCAACGAGGGCAGTCTAACGCAACCGTAACTAGCGCAACCAAACTATTAGTCCAGTTTTTGGTGCAGCTAATTTTTTTTTTTTTTTGAAGTTGAACAAAACTATGAGCCAACTGTATCTTATAACTGCAGGCATGAGGTCGTTATGATGTGCTATTTTATTCCGTTGAGCAATCCCGCAACCTGTCCGCGTTTTTTGACCATGCAATAATTATTTTAAAATGTCACGAAAAATATGAACAAGCTAAAGAAGGTTGTTTATTATAAATATTAATTTTAATTAATTAATTAATTATAAATCTGCTAAAGCAAATAGCTCTATTGCTAAACAGACCACAGGGGTCGCTTTGTGATGTCATATTAGATTCTTGTTTAGTATTGATCATGTGATTACTGTTCATGCAAATCATCGTCGCTATCGAATTGTAGTAATGTTAATTCTTTCTCTCCATGTCCACTTAATTTTAATGTCAGTGTCGCGGTTAGGAGAGTAGAGCTGAGATCTCCTGAAATCAAAATTCTTCTTGGGAGGGACAAGCCATTTTTGGAGGTCTCTTGACTGATTGCAAATAGTATATGTTGGTACGCCTATGTGTAAGAAGTTATTTTACTTTAAATATCTGTAAGTTTATTTTATTTGTATTAATTTATAATAAACAACCTTCTTTAACTTTATTTTTCGTGACATTTTATAATAATTATTATATTTAATCTATGCATGATTATTTTTTTTATAAAAACCCTTTTTAATCTCACAGTCTTTTAATATATACATTTAAAACAGTCTATTTGCGCTAGTAAAATCCATTGTTTTCGCTTCATTCAATACCACCGGTTTTACTACCGTATTAAATATTTAATATATATATTTTTATAAATATGAATAAATTCATTTCTGAAAAAAAAAAATTCTATTCCTACATATTTTCATTATGTGTGTTGAATCAGACAATAATGTTCACCATTTCCTGTTTTGTATAATGATAACAATAATTTTATGTATAGTCCTTTTTACGGATACAATTATCTATGTTATCTCAGTGTAGCCATTCGCAAGGAAAAATTAAGCAATGTTTACATGTTTTTTTGCAATCTATAACCGTTGCCAATGAACGACAAATCGGGGACTCAGTAACGAGCGTTCATGTGTGGACGGAATTATAAATATTCACAAGATTCAAGGTTCGCAGATGTAACACTTCACAGATTTCGACAGGCCTTGGGTAGTGGTACGCCTGTCAGTCAAATATCTCCCTTATAGGCAACTCTCTCGTATTTGTGTAGCAAGTTATTTTTAAAAAATTGAATCGTTTCGATGTTTTACCCGACGCCTTGCGAAGAAATAGCGTTGAGGAGAACAGTCGCTCGTTTAGTAGTATCATAACTAAAGAAATACTTGTTCGGAAATGATTTCTAAGAAATAATTTTACAACTTTAATGCAATTATGCCTTAGGGAATCTATTAACGATAATTCAATTTTAGATGATTAGATTTTGATATTATTGACTATAGTTACGGGGGAAAAAATTGAAGCTAAAAGCGCACAACTTTCTAAAAATCAATATCCGTTAATCACTAAATTTGATTTAAACACACTTGAAGGTTTTAACAGTTCTCTGAAATGGCTAGAAATCATTCAATTTTAATTAAAATATTCCTAATTTTTTTTTCTTTCCTTCATACAGCAATTCAGTAGCACAAGCGGATCCAGGATTTAATTTGGGGGGGGGGAGCTTTAGCCCGAAAGGTTTTATATATACAACGATTATTACTTTGGAAGAAGAAGAAATATTTTAACAACCTATATGAAATGGCGGTTAAGTGATTCTTGAAGTCCCATTAAATGTAATTACCCGAACAATAATACTTTTAGAGGTAATTTTTTAATAATATTTTCGTAAGACATGGTTATATTTTATTATTTTGGAGTGGTGGGGGGAGGGGGAGTCTTATCCCGAAAGCTCTCCCCCGTAGATCCCGGCTGTGACTTATACGAAGGCCATATATATTATGTTGCATGCTCTAATGTGCATTAAGCCTAATAAAAGTATCAATTGAAGAAAGTATTGCAGTTCTTATAAAACAAAATATTTTCTTATTAAATTATTAAATAACTGTATTTAATGATACATTTATTATTTTCTTCTTTATGCAATTTTCATATAATTATTTTGTCAAATATAAGAATGTAAACTGGGAATTTTCCTGCCGTTAATTGTGTTATTACTTTTCTGCAGCTTTCCAAGAATTAATTAGCTGTTTAGATGGAGTAGTGTTCGCGAAAATTGCATTCAAGGTTGAGATGAATTCCTCGGGTTTCATTGTTCGATCGTTCGATTTCCTCTAAAAAATAATAAGTGTAACATTTACCTCCCTGGGTCTCATTAATCAAAATTTAGTCTCTTTATCACTCATTTGTATATTTTAATAATTATCATTTTGAATTTTTTCAATGTTTTAAACTTAATATTTACTGGCCTGTCGAAAAAGCTATGTGCAAATATCGCTTACATGTAATAAGAATTAAAGTATGTATAATATAAGTATGACATATGAAATTTCTAATTGCCCGACATTTTGAAATACATGGCGGTTGGTAAAAAGTTACGAGGATCATCTTAGGGCGACCTGTCTTTGTTCCCAAATATCTTTTAAAAATCGGCTTTATTGGAGGATTGACGATATTTTATTTTGTTATCGTTTCAATTGTATAATTTTAAACATTTTAATACTAGTAGAATAAAAGAGAGATAAAGAGAGGAAAAAGGAGTGAAACGGAAATTAAATGTTGAAAAAATGAAGAAAAAAAAGAAGAAAAGGAAAAGAAAGAAAAAAAATATATATATTTATTATACTCATATATATTCAACTATTTCTGTATATTTATATATAAGTTTTATTGATTGTCTAAGGAATAACTATTGTGCTGTGTATCTAGACAACCTAATCTAATTAGCGAGCACGCTTTTGTATGAAAATAAAGTGTTTCTATCTTGATTTTTTAAATTCCACTAACCTTGGAACGTAAAACCTCAAAGTTATTATTTTAAGGGAGTTATTATTTTAAGGGAGTTATTATTTTAAGGTTGTGGACATGGAATGTTTGGTTTATTTTCTGTTCTGATGCCTGAATTGGCGAAACGAATTATTTTATTCTTTACTGACATTTTAAAGGCACAAGGCTGTGTGATTGCAACTTTCCAATAATAATCCAATGATAACATCGATTTTATGGGTTTTTATTCGTTTGCATTAGTGTTGCCCAAATGCGAGACGAGTCTTGGTCTTGCTCAAGGGTCTCGCAACAGTCTTGCAGTTACCTATTAGTCTATTACTATAGAGATATTGCTGTAATTTTTCAGATAGGGAAAACCTAACTAAGGTCGAATGAAAAATTGGAAATTTAAAATGCATAAATACACTCGTTATATCAATTCTTTACATTTACTAACTAAAATTGTCAACTATTAGTAACTGTTTTGCCTTAATTTTTATTCCAAAAACGATTTATTTTTATTTTTTTACATGTCTTGGTCTTAGTCTTGCAAAGTGCAATGTGCATGACCTATTTTGGCCAACACTAGTTTACATTAATAACCGTTACATATATTATGGAACATTTGTCCGAAATGGACTTGTCAAAGGTCTATAACTCGCATACTTTCCACAGAGACTTATCTGAAAATGGCTATGCTAAGAAATGGCAGTGATGTCAATAGCGCTGCCTTTCCGAGTAGGACAGGATATTTATAACATGGATTACAATGCCTGTCGATCTATTAGCGGGGACAGTGATTCAGCGGCCAAGTGGGAAGAATCCAGCGGTGCCTATATATCGGCTGGGGACAGCTTTAGCGCGAGTAGAGTATGCGATTGCTGTACGCGAATAGATCCAGGAACCAATCCAATTAGAGCCGAGACGCGGCTTTGAGGAATGCCAGGGTCGGCCAAACATCTCCGCTGTCTTCGGGCTCGCAAAGTTCAGTTTATTTCAGTCCTCATCATTGTAATCTGAGTGTCCTTCTCTGGGGGAGTCTCTGGGTGAAAGAGATATATAAATTCGTGATAAGAACACTAGGTATAACCTGTGCGATGTAT